CATGAGCGGTTTAGGGTTTAGGGTACTCGTCTTGGTACCGGCCGAAATCCAGCTAGGGTGTCGGGTTTCAGGGTTCAAAGGGTGCAGGGTCATTCCGATTCCAGATTGAGCTACTCAGGGCTACAAAGTCCCACTTTCTCTTTAAGCTGAGGATAAGTGACCTGAGCAGAGGCCTGCTGAAGGGACGTCTGGCTTTACAGGATTTCTTGTAGTTGCGCTCGCCACGCAGCTTGCGTTCCTGCTGCGGAACCGATTGGCCACCACGGTGCCGTAGGCCGCGTGTGTCTTGGAGTCCATGTTCAGATCCAGCATGACGGCCTGCCTCAGCGCACACGCAGTCGCGTTCATGCGTCTGTGCTTATTCGTGTATAGACTCTGCGCCGTATGTATTCCTTGTTTCAAATCCTCCCACAGTACTCATCTGGAAATGTATATTTTTATATGTACATATGTACATGTTCCCAGACACTGATCTACTGGCCGATGGTTGCTCTAGTGACTCTAGTGCGGTCGGGCAGCAGCGTCTTGCCCTGCCTGGCATGGGCCGTGATGGCGCAGGCCGGGACGAGCGGAATCTGCTTCCTGTTTACCTTGAGCACAGCAGGCTTCCTTGTTCTGTCAAGCTTCCAGGTTCGCGTGACCGGCAGTATTCGACGCCGTCCGGACTCAGTCGCTCCGTCTAGCCTCCAGTCGGCGCCCTCGAACTTAACGTACCTTGCGCATGGCACCCTATGGGAGGTTAATATCTGCGGGGGATAGCTTCGGGGGAGCTGGCTGCGCGCCGGCCGAGGTGCAATTTCCTGGGCTGCTGTTCGTTTTCTTTCCGCAATGCCAGAAATGCGCGTAGCCCATGCGACCCGTCAGGAGCGACTTCTGCGAGCGGCCCAGGTACCACGGGCATGCTGATGGCCAGCGGGACCATGCCGCACAGGCCTTCCGGGTCCATGTCGCGGTACTGCAGCCGGCGGATCTCCTTGTCGCAGACTTGTGCGTCTCGAGCACAAGCCTTCGCCCAGTCCTTGTTGATCTGGTACTTGTTAGCCACGACGACGGTGGCGTTGACAAACTTTCCCTGCCGGAGGCGCGGGTACCAAGGCCCGTCCGCCACTCGCTGCCTTGAGCACCTTTCTTCGGCCGACAGGCTACAGCCTTCAACGTGTCCGCCGTGGAGATATAGCTGTGGGTCTCCTCGGAGAGCTCGCCGGCGCGCATCTCGTCGACGACCTGGACAGGTATAAGGTTGTGTCAAGAAAGAGGCCACGATTGACAAGGTGCCGAATGTTGAATCCAGCCGGTGCAGAAGCCCAGCTGGTCAGGATCCAATCCTTCAATTGGAAAAAAGTCCAGCCCGCTACAGATAGAGAATCTGCGGACTGTGGATGGGACGCGCTTTTGCAAGCGAAGACCTCAGGATAGAACAGCTCCTTTGTCCGCCGACGCACCTGGAAAACAAACAAAGTTATGAGAATGTTCTCCTGTAGGTTGCTGAAGAGATCCTCCCTGCGACCACGCACCTGCAGGGAATCCATGATGGTCACGAGGCTTGTCTTGAATGCCTGAGCAAAGGACAGCTTCAAGCATCAACAATTGTTGGGTTTGCATCCGTGACCCAATGTTCTTGCTGCTGAGCTACGTCCTAAGGCCGGCAATGTAGCGGATTGCTACTGATGAAGCCAGCAAGGTGGCCGCCGTAAGTAAACAATCCCTGCACCATCACCTGATGACAAAAAAAAAGGTTACGTACCTGCCTACCACACACACATACCGAAGCAACATCACAAAAAATTAGCTAGACAGACCACATTCCCCAAAAGATCATGACCTCGATGGCACGACGAAAATCTGCTCGTGGGCACTTCTGGACCACCTTCTCATCCGAATTGTCGCCTGCTACAGAATTGCCTATACCTGGCTCCGTCCACCCCCACGCGACGGCAAGAAACAACAGACCAGCCTACGA